TACATTTCTCCAAATCTGTTCCCATGAAGAAGAAACAAACTACATTTTGGATGGCCTGAGGGTGAGTACATTTTCAGTAAATGTACATTTTTGGGTGAGCTATTCCTTTAAAACAGCCTGTTTTGTGCACAGATATAGAGTTTAACTTGTGTAGTCCTGTAAACGACTCTTCTCCTCTGTCAGACCGTCATCACGGCACTCCGATGCTGTTGGAAGGCGTGCGCTGCATAGGAGCAGAACTCGAGCAAACTCCGAGCAAATACGACTCCGAGCAAAGCGACTGGCAAGGCTTCGACTGAACGCCTGAACCTCACAGACTTCCCACTCAGTGCCACATATCTCGTGTCGGCAGCGACAGAATATTCCAGATTCTGGAATTCTATTGTCAGTGTCACTGCTTTCTGCTCGCAGCGTTTGGAAACAAACTGTGGTTACTAGCTTGTTTGTACAGTCTGTTACAATGGAATGCAGGAATGATCTGTCGTTTAGTGTAGCTCTCTGTGATTTGTCGTTTTTCAGGTTTGGATAAAAAAACAACAAATTGTGTGTGTTTGCTCTAACTGAATTCCAGTGTTATGACTGAATGTTTCTTTCAGATAAAAACAAATATAATATGCTCTTATGTCTGTGCTTCTGCACTTTCTTGCTCCAATCTGATGTGAATCTAACGTTTTTTTTTAACTAATTCTATGTATGAGTGATGCTTGTGCTCACTGTGAATCAGCCTCTTGTATTTGTACCAGTAGGAGGCGCTGCTGACTACAAAATCAATCTTACATGTTTCACCATGAACTTTGTTGGCATCTTGCCTTTAAAGTTTGAATGTTTTGATTCATCTACTGAACTTGATTAGTAATTTTAGATCCAGCAAATGTTGGAGATTTTGTCTGCCCTGATAGATTTTTAATGTGATCATCACTTTAAGGGCTGTTCATTCTTCTTTTGTGTGTAACATTGTTTTTTGAGCCAAAGTGCCTGAAATCATTTTTAGTTTATTTGATTGATGCCAGCATGTAAATCGAGCTATTACATTACATTGAATGTTGACAGCCTTATTCCAGCATAGTATTGTATGTCTATTCTTAACTCCATTTTACTGCTTTTATGAGGTCTCTGTAAAAGTGAATGTGTCTTTTCAAATGGAAATTCAAAATAATTTCTCCCAGAGCAAATAATGTTGACGGTCTTCACTGTTGATGACTTGTTTCTCGCCTTACTGTCCTTTTTGTTTTTTACACTCGAACAAATAAAATTCACTTGTTGATTCAAAATGCTTTTATAATTTGTGTTATAAAACAATTGTGAATCATTGCATTGAACAGCCACTAGTGGTCAGTGTATTCTAAAATAATGAACATATTTACAGTTTCAGGAATATAAAGGGTTGGACTTCTGGCTGCTGTATTGGTATTTGATAAATGTACAATAAAATCACAAGTTTGATCATGCATGACAATCAAATGAATTATGAATATACAAATGTATTCATGTCCACTCAATTGTCGCATTTTCCTATAGAAAAGACGGATGTCTGCAGAAGATTAAATAATAGTTGATCTGAGGTACTTACATTATTTCTGAAGAAACTAACTTAATTTCAATCTTATTTTTAATTGATTCTGAAATGTAGCATCATGCATTTACATAATGAATATGCATGAAATGAACAATGTAAATGCACCATGCATTCCTCAATCCATCACGTGTAGGTTTAATTTTTCATCTTTTCCAGCTAACCAATACACAATCATTTTGGGATTTTTAAATTTTAATTTTTAACCGTGCTATGCAAATCTGACACCCTACAAGGAAAATACACGTTAGTCTATCCATATAAAGATTGCATTGTCTCCTGTCTCGTGCAGTTCTATCTCATTTTCACTTCACTAATGAGAAAGTGCGCTCCATATTTTATAGTGAGCCCATTATCGTGAGCCCAGATCAGTATGTCAAGGTTTGTGGTCAGTCATTCATTGTCAGGATCTCCTCCTCAGGGCAGGGTATTGTCTCTATGCCTGAGTGTCACTACCTTTGTGTGTCACTGCGACATCTGACACTGATGCACTGAAGCAGAAAACTCTGCTCAAAGCCAAATGAACACTCCTAATCTTAGTTTTATGAAAATGTGGCAGCTTCTTCATGACAATGCCACATCTTCACAGATGATGAAAGCATGTGATGCAGCTGCTCTACAGCTGGTTTAACTGCTGCCAGCGTGTTTTCAAACTCTTGAGCACTATTATTATTGATACAAACACAAAACTGACTTTAACTGATACACACGATTACACAAGTATTATGAAGGTAGAATGACGTCAAAAAGATCTGCATACGCAGGATAAGAGTTGTGGAAGTGTACATAAGACTGTAAGACTTTATAGGAAACAAAGTCTCAGCATTCAAACTCTGTTACATTTATTCATTTCGAACTATAAATATCATTTTGGAGCTCTTTAGTGGCATGACAGTTCATGTGCGCTCCCGCTTTGTCTCAGTTCAAGCAGCATTCTAAATTAGAATTGTACATTTCTTCGAACAGTATGGGGACAATAAACATAACATTTCTCAAGAGCAATTTTTGAAGGGGACACAAATAAAGTAGCCCAATTCCGTGGGGAAACCGCGACTTGGCAACACTTACCAAGTACAACATGTTCCTGGATCAACATCCTTGTTGATCCTGGAACATCATTCCAATAAACCAATCAGATCTCAAATCTTTTTGACGTCATTCTACCTTCATAAGTTTCCATTAAGAAATGGTACGGGAAATTGCTGCGGTCGAAAAAATAAAAGTGACTTTTAAAATAGTAAATAACTGTCTATTTCATTAATCGACTATTCTTGGTTACTTAATAAACTTTTAGCTGTACTCTCAAGAACACAGTTCAACATTTTGGTTAATTTGGTTGAGTTATTGTGTTTGTTTACCCAACATATGTAATAGGTAATATAGGCCTATGATACTGGAATTTTTGTGTGAAAGACAAAATTAACAAAATTATAATCTGTCTTCATGACAGTTATGGACTACATTAAAGACATATTTTTTGATTGACGTGAGCATGTTCTGGGTTTAGTCGGGTAAAAACCGAGGGGGAAAGGTCTGTTTGTGTATTTATCTGTGTTTATGGTATATATCTGCTGTTTTGCGACATTTGTGTGTTGGAGGAAAGAGCCCGAGTGCGAGACTGAGGGGCCAGGGAGCTCACTGGAGGCAATTAAACCTCTCTTGACTGTACTGTTGGTTTGAGGAAGTGACTGACAGCTCCATTCATCACGTTCACGGTTTTATCTGTGCTGAGCAGTTGAATTCAATAATGAATTCCTGGAACATCATTCCAATAAACCAATCAGAATTGAGAGATAACGATTGGGTTAAGTCTGTATTTTTGGACAGTAATGTTGATCCAGGATCAACAAAAGATGTTGATCCAGGAACATGCCTTACTTGGCAAAATCACGGCGACCATGATTCTAATTAGCATTTTTTATTTAACCTTTACGAAGCATGAACATGTAGGCTACACTATGGAGAATTTAGCAAAAAAATTACATTTATTATATTTTTAATCATATAAGTAGGCTACTCTTTTCATTATAATTAACAAAAATGCATAGATATAACATTATTTTAAAAAATGGTCTACAAATCAATTGTTACTTTTAACCTTAACCTGTAAAGTTTAGTTTAGAAAGATTGAGAAAAAATAACATGTACTTAATCGCAAGCTTGTTAATTATTCCTGTATAGTTCTCAAAAAAAAAAAAAAAAGTTGGCAAGTTAAAGTTTTAGGTTTCCTGGACGACATTTAAAAAAATTCACTGTATAAGTTAGTTAGATCTTTTGCTCCAACCGCTGGTTAATCAGATGATAGAAATAAGAGAAATAAGTTCCAATAAAAAATAACATGTGCTTAATCGAAAGCTTGTTAATTATTCCTGTAAAGTTCAAAAAAAAAAAAAAAAGTTGGCAAGTTAAAGTTTTAGGTTTCCTGGACGACATTTAAAAAAATTCACTGTATAAGTTAATGTTAGATCTTTTGCTCCAACCGCTGGTTAATCAGATGATAGAAATAAGAGAAATAAGTTCCAATAGACTAACATTTGAAGTTGCGGTAGGAATGTGTAGCTAATGTGAAGTAATCAGCAATCGGGATAGGATTTATTCATGCTTTTTTATGCCAGGTTGGAGTGATAGCCTACACTGATTTTAACCTTAGGTTGGAGTTATACACCCCATGTATAAACTCTCCGCCACTGCTTATCCATTATTACGAAAGAACAAATTAAGAAACTGAACGCGGTTTAAAAACGACTGTGAATAAAAAAGTGACATCTAACTGTAATTCATTACACTCACCGAGCGCAACAAATACAAAGTCTAAATGCAACGGGAATCGTTTCATTCACATTTCGCTGAACGCTAACGGGCTTTTAAACCACCTCGTGCTTTTACTCGTCTCTGTTTACCAATGGATCGATGGATTACAGTCCGGAAGTGACGTCGCTGCTGTCAGTCAACCTAGCAAATATATACTCTACTCTGGAAATGATATGTTAACACGACGGCTGTAGCCTTCAGATTGTGTTCGAAATATTCTAATCACATCCACATATGTATTTTATTGTCTATTATAGGAAGTTCCTGAATTGGTCCCATGCACGTAAAAATGACCTCCTCCTGAAGAATTCCCGAAATGTCTTTCTCCAGAGCTTCTGTAGAGCCCAGAGCAGATAGGCTACAAAAACACACCCAGTGTAGACAACGAGTAAATTGACTATATAAGTCATAAAGGAGACAAAAAAGGGAAAGTTTGCGCTGCTCGGATCCATGTTGGTTGTGTGGAATTACTTATAAGTGGTTAAGCAGTGAAGCGCCTCCCAGTGCCTCGGTCATAGACCTTGAAACCCAGCGCATATATGCAGAATGTATTTTGGGTTGAGCGCGATCCTATAGCTGAGGAGGGTCCTTCCACTTGCCCACAGGGCCCCTCCACCTCAACCTTCATTCCCTTCTTTATAGATCTCCTCCTGCATGGACGCCCGATGCCGGAACATGCTAAAATATTTGGGCAGAAACTCGGTTCCGTCGCTGGAGTCTGTGGCTGGATTCTAATTTGATGTTTTGTTGGGAATAATCTCCCCCTTTCTGACAGGAAAGAACTTACGCTGACTATTTATTCAACCTCAGAGACCGCTCAGGAAAACTAAGTGAGCACACAAAACAGTTAAATTATTAGATGTTTGATCAAGCCACGAGTATGGGCGATGGAATCGCCGAAGACCGAAACCACCGTGAATCCAATTCGTTGTGCCGTGACCGCGGTAGAGACTCCAAAAGCCGGGCGGAAGTTCGGAACCGGTCACCTGTGCAGAGTTCTACCGACACACCGGGGACTTCGGCGTCCACACCGACTTCATCTAGCGAGGATGGACACGATAAACTTGTAGGAGTCGATCCGGACTACTGTCGAAGGATTCTGGTCAGAGGTGAGTGAACGAATATTTAGCCTACCGTAAATGTGTTAAATCATTTCCTATTTGTTTTAAAAATTCATTTAAAAAACATATTTACAATATCTCAATCAGACTCCCTTTCATTTCCATTTCATTGTCATTCAGTACAAAACAAAAACACTTTACTAATATATCAAACATACTCCATTTCATTTTACACGAAACAATTTTCTGTTTCGTATTTTAGTGTATTTTGTTCTTGTAGTGGTCGTGATTATTATAATATGCAAACCATAAATATCTGAGATTAGCTCACAGTATTTACAAATGACAATTTATGGCGAACATTAATGCAAAAATGTATGCACAAAATTGTAGGTAGGCTATAAGCTGCCAATAGGCCACCCCCAAAATCTTACAATGATGCTCATTAAATACATTAAAAAAAATACATCAATATCTGAAACTTTTATTAATAGGCTACTCTGAAACAAATATTTAAAACATCATGTTCCAATGTATTACAAAATACTAAATATAAATAAAAATAGCCTATTCGTGTATTTTTATATTGCTTAAAATGTATGAAAGGGATTATGTATTTAATGTAATACAAACTACAACCATCAAACATGAATGTTGAGCTTAGTTTGTGTGTATCCTTAAATGTTATTATTTGAGAGCCAAAAAACAAACAAACAACGACTTAAACAAGCAAACATTACGCATCATCGAAAGCGGTTCTTTACATTTTTTTTTGAAAAAGATCTAAAAACGTAGTTTTTTTTAAACACAATCCATTTTATATATTTAATTGACAGAACACCCTTTGTTTACAGAGGTAAAGTATTTCTAAACACATTGAGAAAAGGGAATAACTGTTAGAACAAAAAGTAAGAAATACGGTCCATGTAAATGCTATTTTTTAAAAGTCATAATTTAGGGAATATGTGGTTGTAAAATAATTTCTGGTAAAGTGATATTATATTTACAGTCAGGATGTAAATATAATTGCTACATTTTGGCTTTTCAACAATAAGACAAGCCAAAATGTAGCAAAATAATAATAATAATAATAATAACGACAGTAATATTGCTATAATAGTACATATATATCAATGCACTAAATATTTGATACCGTCTGAATTGTTTGCACCATGTAGCTGTAACGACTTTTACACTTTGAAATTAATTTTTTTAGCCGAATTAATATCTGTAGCAATTCTTATGATATTATTCAATTCATTTATATATTTTCAGTATAAATATTTAGTGAGGTTAATTTTATTGTAATATTTACAACAAGAAAATTAAATAATTACATGCTCTAAAATTGAAATTTAAATGCCCTTTCACAATATGGTTTACGAAATTTAATGAACACAAACTGAGCATTGAGTCCTGCAGCAGTGGCAGTGAATGGCCGAGCTAGTGGTTCGGTTGTGACTGGATGAACTGCAGGGGATCTGAGTGGTTGTGGCGCAGTAAGCCCACAATCCCCGGTGTCACTATTTGTTTTTAAAGCTGATGATTGAATGCGCCCGAGTCCTCCTGAGAGCCGGGGTCACTGAAAGGTCAGCAGGTCTGTGTCATAGGCCCATAGGCTCGCGTTGATTTGAAACAGTGAGGAAAAAGCAATTAAAGAAAGGTTTGCCATTAACATTCTACCGCTTTATATCACCATTAATCTTATTGTGATATTACAGTTCTACCAAGTGTGATACTGAGCTTGGTTGCCAGGCAGACATTCAGATAGGCGGAGCTACAGATGTACAGAACATTCTAAATATTAATACTTTACCACATTATTGTAACAGATAGAGCTAATTAAACCCATTCTAATAACATCATATCACATTAACATGATTTAACAGTTACCATTTTTGAAGTTCTGAAATAAAACAAAAAACAAAAAAAACAGCAAAGCTACATTTTAAGTATTTTCTTGTGGTCACAATCTGACAGATATGAGTCATTGCAATATGACTTTATTTCCCCAAAGCATTTTTTTTTTCAGGTTTGAGACATAAGTCTTAGTATTTATTTTCTTTGACCTACTAATAAATATTTTCTAAGGTCTAATGATGGTGACGCATCAGTCAACATGAAAAAGTCACTATATAAAAATTGCAGTATGTTGTTATATTCAGTTTCATAAGACAGTTTAAAATAGTTCAAATATATTAATTTCTGTTTATTATCTGTCAAAAATATCTTCATTATGTTTGGTTTCTGGGAAAATGTGGAATAAGAACTGACAATGCTAGGAAAATTTGTGTATATAATTCAATTATTAAGGAAATCTTTCTCAAATTAATCAATACTATCGCACTGTTTACGAAGTGTAAGTGTAACCGCTTGGATATTTATTTTGAAAGTGACATGAAAATGAACTGTATAGGTCAAAAATATAATGATCAATAAAAATGTTGCATTTTAACAACAAAAATGCATTAGAGATATTGTGTTTTATATGAACGTAATGCCATATGTATCACATTATTATCTGATATTATGATTTCTGATGTTGCATGTCAGTCGTGATATCAATAAAATGTTGTATTACTGTGTTGATAATCATGTTTAATGTTGACAAAAAATAATCTTTAACTGATTGCAAATATGTACTTTGTTGTTATGCTGCTTTGGTCTGCTTGGATGAACATGAACACAAATGTTGTAAAGTAAATATATTTTCATGATTTGATCCAACAAATAGACCAAAAGCTTGCTCACCTTTGGAGAGTTTTCTGCAAAACACAGCTTAAGCAGATCTCATTACCAATCAAGGAAAAATACAGGATGCTGGAGTTTAAAGCTCCTCTTTGGCAACTTATTTGTGTTTCGCATGCTGTAATGGTGAAACAAATTCAAATCTCGATTAAACGACTCTGCCCGGCCTTTATATTGAGCTAAGTTCATGTTTAACTGCAAATATGTAGAAATTCTCAAAAAAAATTTCTGTGATGCAAAAATTATCTAAAATACATGCACATACTCTTATTTTCATAGCTATATCCGTATTTTTAGATTTTCTCCCACGCCTAATAATGCAAGAATTGGCTTATTTCAAAACAAATAGTAAATCATGTAATGTATCTGCGTCCTAAACAGACGCCAAGGGCACTATTCGGGAGATTGTTTTGCCAAAAGGCCTGGATCTGGACCGGCCGAAGCGCACGCGGACCTCGTTCACGGCGGAGCAGCTCTACCGGCTGGAGCTCGAGTTCCAGCGATGCCAGTATGTGGTGGGGCGCGAGCGCACGGAGCTCGCCAGACAGCTCAATCTGTCAGAAACTCAGGTATGAAACGCTTTCATGCTTGTTAGACATGATAACAGTGAGCTTCGCTTTTGAACGAGCTGCTGCTTTTTAATGTAATATATAAATATTTTAAAAGCCTATGAAATATTTTGTTTCATGGTTGGAGTACTTATTATTATTAGCCTATTATTATTATTATTATACATTTTGTTGGCTATTTTAACATGCATATTTATTACTACAGTTCTGTTTGTAATTTGATTGTCTCTGTAAATCCTCCAGAATTCCTCTTCATGTGATTTTGTTTTGTTGACATCGTAGTTATTTCTCCGATTCTTCAAGTGTTTGATTTTTATTATAGCACTGTGTCGTATAGCGCGGTAAATGAGATTCGATTCGATTAACTGTAGCGCAGTGTGAAAAATAAGTATTTGCGTCAGTTATGCATTTTTTTTAGAGTCCGCAAACTACCTCAACATTTATTTTAGAGACTGCCTGTTATTTTAAAATGGATCTGTTGTTACTGAGCTTTACAGTGTAGCCTATTTACAACAAAACATTTACTGGCTTATAAAGACAAAGAAATCTTTTACGCAATAACCTCAATGTTAATACCATGTAAAAATACAATAAATACAGAACAATTAAAGTAAATGCAGTCTAATGGAATGTTAAATTAAAAAGGCTTTAACACAAAGAAAGGTTTGCAATAAATAAATAGTCAGTTAGTTATTCATATCCCAGCATGTTTTCGTTGACCTGTTCTGTCGCTGTATCTGAAAAGTAGAACGTATTGATGTGAAACGGGAAATAAGTACATGTAAATAAAACAATGAACGAATGGACGGACAAATAAATAAATAAATACTGCTAGTTAATTGTTTTGTCAAAGCAGTCAATGGTTGGTCAGCAAACTGCCCAAAATGTAACGTGTGTATAGACGTCAAATCGTGCGCTAGAGTTGCCCATCTCCTGTCTGCAAATGCTTCATGCCAGCCTCCATTGTTATGAACACAATACTTATAATTAGTATTCGCACAGTGGGCGTCAGTGGGAGGAGCATTTCTTTATCCAGACGTGGAAAATAAATAAATAAATAAATAAATAAATAAGAGGGGGCCCCAGTTGTCCAGTTATCATTCGTGCACTCTGAACTGGCGTCACTTCAGATTTATTTTCTTTGATCTCTTTTTTTAAGTTGTCGTTGTTTAAATGTTTTATTTATTTAAAAGTTTGATTTAGTTAAATTGTATCATCCAAGTGATTAAAAAACCCGAATAACAACTATAAACTTCAGACGATTAAACGACGCTATTCCATTATTCGCGGATCCAGCTATATTGGTCATCTGGCTAACTTTACCAGACTCGTGTTTTCAATACTATAGACTATCACACAGAGAATATCCTGTATTATATACCTTATAAATCACCTCAATAAATCACACAGAATCGTGGTTAGACACACGGTTTTATGTGGATATTCATGGTGGTTTCAGAGCTCAATTTTCAAAACACGCAATTCTGGTTTAATGCTGTATTTTTTTTTTATAGCAGACAATGATGTAGTAATTTAAATGTAGCCTATTATCTGCACAGACCACGGGTCTTAGATCGCCATAAAGTTGCATTTGAAAAAGATGATTCACTGCAGTGTAAATAATAAATTGGCATGGTTTGATTCAAACAATGGGTTGATCACATTTCTGGCACCCGCAAGTGTTTATTAAAACAAACCGATTTTAAAAGGTTAATGGAGCTATTTATGATGTTTGCAGTCATGTTTTCAAACCTTGCCTCTTACCCGTCTGTTATATTTTCTTTAATCTGATCCAAGCAAAACATTAGTAAATTGTTACCCAATTAGAAATAGAAATGAATTAATGAAACGAATTAATAAATTAATAATACCCCTATTTAAAATGCTTGTAGTTCTACATAGCGGCATACTGTACATTTAAATATGTTTTCCCACGAGTGTAAATTATCTTATTGGTAATTGGTGACAGGTCAGAAATGTGACTCTAGGGGCGCTGTGCTGATGTAATTGTTACAGCTGCAATTATAAGTGAATTTGTAAAACACTGTGATATATTTTTCATACAAACCACATGGAATTTGAAAGATCCAAATAACAACATTATGCTTAGAACAAATAAAAGGAGTGCTCTCTAAGTTTTGGACGAGTATTGGCATTTGAATTGAAATAGTACTTTTGGGGCCTATGATGCCAAAGGCCTAGACCAAGGGTCTTCAACTGGTTTGATCACAAGTAATGTTTCCTTAAAAAAAAAACACATCACAAAGTAAATTTTAAAGATAAACACCCTGAGACGAAAGCAAGACGACCCTCAGTTGATACTGCAATGGTGTAATATTGGCGAAACAGATTTAGCAAACGCTCCATTGCGTTTTTTGAGTTTGAGCTCTGGAGAATGTGAAATGTTCCTGTTTACAGCGTGTTTTTGCGGAGAAATGCAGCCAATCACAGACATGTTTGTTGATCTCTTGAACGCAAAGGCCAATCAGAGGTCTTTAAGTTAGAATCCGCTCACCGCTCAAAACGCCGAGGTTTTAGTCAGTGTTGAATTATGCTTGCTCTCGCGAACCCTCACTCATTAACAAACAACGGCACGATGTAAGATTCATTATGCAGTGTAGATAAATGCATTGATTTTAATGGAACGTTGTGAGATCGCGAACTGAGATGAGTGACAGATTGTGAAGTGAGCGGTCTTTCGCACTTTCGAGGCTTTATAGCTATAATCCGTTGAATAACCGATTACACCGATGAACCGATTACACGCTGCAAAGTTTTGGAAGTAACATATAAATGCGTGATTCACTCTGAAGATGCAATTGACACCGTGATACTGGCACGGGACAAAAATATGGCATTTCAAAATAGATATGCGCAATGTAAATGCAGAATAATAGATTACTAGAAAAAACATTCGTATCAATATTTTTTTTAAAAATTTCATTCTATTTTTTTTGTAAAAGTAATGCCTTGTAAATAATCGTAAATGTCTCACTGTACATTGCTGTTCTTGTCATGCTGGAGCCCTTGCTTATACACATTACATCTGCACTTTATTAAAAAACCCTCACTCAGTGATTTGATTCTTAATTGTCCATCTCACAGTAAAATTAAAATGTTAAAGTTTTAGTAAACTTGAAGCCAAAGTTTAACAAAATGTTTATTTGTCCATCTGACAGTAAAATTAAAATGTGATTTTTTTTATAAACTTGTAGCTAAAGTTCAGGTAACTGTAAATGTCTATCTGACTAGTAAAATTATCGGCAAATCCATTAAAATAATTTACAACAACAGCAAAAAACGAATAAGTTGATTTTTATCTGAATATGTTGCTTGTTATGATGCATTTTAACAAGTAATATACAGGCAGTGATGCATGTGCAACAACAATAATGTGCATATGTTCTGATCTACTGTCTTAACATAATATACATGTAACAATACAATTTATTCTTAATCATTATATGGTTAGTTCCATTACATGAAATACTTGTACTTTTCCACACTGCAGGGCCATTCAAAATGAACTAGGACATTAAAAACGGTGAAAAACTCAAGAAAGAGTGACCAGTTATATATAACTACTCAAAGCTAATCCACATTTATTTTTTTATCCTTTGGCATCACAATAGCATAGGTGTTTCTGTGTTTCTACTGGTACAATATTGAACGACTTTATACTATTCAATCATTTATTCCAGTATTATACAGCTTTATCGAAGTCCATTTAATCCAAAATAACATACTAATGATTTACAATTATACTCAGAAATATGTATTCGAACGAGCTTTGGACTCGTTTTGCACAACTGTTACTAGTTAGGAGACACATGCATTTAACCAGAGGAAAAAAGAAACTAACAGAAACTAACGACTTGTTGCGCCTCAGTTGTGAAAACATTTGCGATGGCTATGAATTCCCTGCGAATTTCGACATATAACACGCCTAGATCTTTATAACACATCGTGAAAACCTTTCATAGGCTTTGAGTTTGTGATTCTCTCCCGAGAGAGAAAATGTGCCTAAGAAACGTTGTCAAGACAGACATAATAATGTCAATTGTTATACATATTGAAAATAAACGACGAAAGCTGTATTTGATTGTCTTTGCTTCAAACCCAATCAATGTGGTTTTAAATGGATTCGTTTGAGAAAAGTGACGACCAATTAAACTTCCTTTTGACGTTTTTTTTTTGTTTTGAAAAGCCATGATTTCTTTCGTCAGTTGCGGTTTTAATTCGAATGGAATAATTAAGTGCAGCCTTTATATTCAACGCAGAATTCATTTCGTTCTCTCGTGATGATTTAATAAGAATAAAGAAAGTGGTCAGTCTTAGGAAAGCAGAGAAAAGAACTTTAAATAATCTACAAACTGGATTTTAACGATAAGGCACGAGATTGAGTTTTCCCCTTACATTTTCAAGGAAATATATAACATTAATGAGAATTAGCCATAGTCAGATTTTCCTTACAATACTGTCATTGGATGGATGGATTGATAGATAGATAGATGCACCATAGTATTACCATATGAGACCATCACAGTACCATGATAGTACTTTTTTTTGTAATTGTAGGTAACCACTCTTCTAGGGGCCAATCATGGACTCTTAAGGAGTTTATTCAACTTTTACTTTTGAAAAACTGCATTTCAGTGTAATGGATGAAGATGACTCACCTTGTGAGATTTAAAAGCAGCTCAACTTTTTCCCTGCAGCTTCTCAGAGGATCAGTTTAGTCCGTGTTGGAGTGTACACGTGGGGGAAATGATTGGCTAAATGTAAGGCAATTCCCTGTTTGTTTACTTCAAAATACAGGGTTTTGGTCAGACCCTGCCCCCAGCAGGTGGCTCCCCGCTCCAGCATAACACAGCAGGGATCCAAACCGCACACGACTGTATGGGGTTTTCAGGCCCCATAGACTCATCGATTCTACTCATGGAGTAGATCCGATGTCTGCTAGATATTTATTATCTGAGATGCTGCTGTTAATTTGCTTA